GCCCAGCGAAGTTAAATGGAATGGACAATTGACCTAGTACTTCTAGTTCGGAGCCATTTGCGGAGCGAATCACAGTAGGACGGGTTAACGGTTTCAGTATTTGGTTATTTATTTTGCAAAATACATTTTCACTAATAAGGGTAAGTTGGCTACCAGAGTCCAGTAACCCTTTTGAAGGAATGCCGTAGATTTTAATTTTGGCATACGGTCTGTTATCGTGGGTATCGACTAGGGTAATATTGAGAACCTGAGATTCCTCCTCCGAACACAAATCCCTCGGAAAAGGTTCCCAGAATTCCACAAGGGTGACATCTAACGGCACGGAGTTTACGCGGATGGGCTCGACGGTCGGCGATTTTGGGCCGTCTGCAATCCGTTTTTTCTACAATATGGGCAGTTGTGGGCTTCGAACTCTTTGAAACCACACACCAGGCAAAGTGAACCCCTATAACTCCTACACTGCTCCAAGGAATGATTGGGTTGTTGGCAGTATAGGCATTCGTAGCTACGAGGGGGTCGATGTGCTTCTATCAGCCTCTTCAATGTCCTCGTAGGTTTAGAAGGACCTTCCTTCGGATCGGGTTGCTTTGAGGGACCTGTTGGTGGAGGATTGTTGGGTTTCCCAACCTCCATTTCTTCTTTCTTTTTAAAATTCCCCCCTTTTGGCTTGTTATTATTTGGACTCTGCTGGTTTGGTTTGAACGGAGGACGGTTGTTGAAATTCCTGGGATCTCCTCTACCAGGTTTGAATTCCGAAACCGCACTTTTCATTCCCGAACACTTTAGCATACAGCGAAAAGTTTGACGCATCAATCACATGCCCCGCTTCTAGCAGTTCGGGAAGACAAAAAATCGGCTTCCAAAGAAGCGTCTTCTTGTAGTCCGGCCTCATATTCCTTTTGAGGATATCCAGCTGCTCTGTATCACTCATGGGTGTGATCATGGACCTGAACATTTTTTCCATATCGTAATAGTATTCCTGAAATGATTCGTTCCTCTGCTGACGCCGTTTGTAGATCCTTGTTCGCACCAACGAGTCCAATTCTGGGTGAGCAAAAGTTCTCCGGAGCTCGCTTACTAAGTGTGGCCAGCTGATCAGCCGCCCTGAGGAACGCATGGTCATGTACCAGTTAAGCGCTGGTCCTGTAAATAGATGGAAAGCCGAGTCAAATAGCTTAGCCTCGGTGGTCCGTTCCGATAGGGCTAGCTGTGATACTAAAACCAGAAACTCATTTAATTTAAGTCCCTGATCTTTTAAGTATAACTTGTCCTTGGACATGCATATTGTGCCGAGCATTGAACCGGTAACATATTCTCTTGAAGAAGATTATACTAACATCGAAACGGCTCTACGAATTTTGTGTTGAGACTTCCTGTTACAGTGGCATCATGAGAACGTTGCTTCAGCAAACTGAAATAAATAAAAAAAAATTACGTTCCAAAATGATCCAAGATAAACTTTCTGTCTTGGCTGTTCTTTCGGTAGAACAGGTTGAATAAGATGGGGCCAAGGATGCTTCCCTGTGGGACACTCACACCAATGTGGAAAGCATCCGATGTGATGCCATTGAGAGAGACTCTGAATGTCCGAAAGGTAATTTTTATTATCCAAACCATGCCAAACATTGTCGAACGCTTTTTCAACGTCAAACAATGCCATGGCAGATGTTTTAGATACATACTTGTTCCGTCTAAGGCTCTGAACCATTTGGTGGATTATTTTAACTTTTGGTTAAAATTTGACAGATGGAAAGTTATCGATTAACCCTGCTATCCGAGCGTGGTTATTTCTGACAGACAAGAAGTTAAATTTTGACGACCGTGGCTCGAAAACCGGTCGATCGACAGCACGGGGATTTTCGAACATAAGAAATAACTTTCGAAATGTCACTTTTAACTACGAGTTAAATTTAACTCGGCAAATGGTTCACAGCCTAAGAATGTTTGTTACTCGAGTGAGCTGGTGAACAGTCGAGCGACCTTTACGGAAGCCAAACTGCTTCTCGAGCAATATGTTGTTTTCCTCGGCAGATGCCAGGTGTCGATGGTAGACTACTCTTTCGAACAGCTTGGATAACCCCGAGAGAAGGCTGATGGGTCGGTAGCTTGAAGGAGAGGATGGATCTTTCCCAGGTTTCCGGATGGGGATGACTTTAGCTGACATCCAGCACGAGGGGAAGTAGTCAAGTCTCAGGTACTGATCAAAAATCATTGCCAGATGGTTGAAAAATCTGGAACTGAGATGTTTGAGTTCCAGATTCAGGATTTGGTCAAAACCTGGGGCCTTCATATTTTTAGATGATTTGGTATATTTATTTATTTATTTATTTCCATTTCGTCAAGCCGGTGTAGACTACATACAATGATTATTACAATGTTTACTTACATACTATGCATTAATTCTATTCTGTTTTAGCTTATTTTTTTTTTTTTTGCTGCTTGGACATTGTGATGTCAATAGTTCCGCAATGCAAATTATATAGGCGCATCATTCGATTGATTGGGCTATTTTTTGCATAGTTTGTTCTGTACGATTTTTCTGAAAATAAATTCCGTGTTCTAAGATATCGATAAGGTGTGTAAAAGTTTAATTGTGCGAGAATTTCTGCCGAATCTATGCGCATTGAAATAATGTCGTTGATGAAGAAAAGCATTGCAAATTGGCAGCGCTCCTTAAGTGTTTGTATATTGATGAGCATGCAGCGCGCTTCATAAAATGGTAATGGAAATGCAGTTCAATTCAATTTACGTAAAGCATATAAAAGGAATTGTTTTTGGACAGATTCTATGCGTTCTTCGTGTATGGAAATGTATGGATTTCACACTAGGTGGCAGTATTCCAGAATTGGCCTTACACATGTGGTATATAATAGCTTAATAGTGTATGGGTCTTCGAAATTATGACTGAACCTTTTGATGAAGCCTAGCATTCTGTTTGCTTTACTAATGATAGTATTATAATGTTCTATAAAAGTTAGTTTGGAGTCTAGGATTACACCTAGATCTCTTACAATTTCGCTTTTTTCTACTATTTGGTTGCCTAATGATATTTCAATATGCGGTGTTTCAATTTTTCTGCTAAATGCTATTGCAGTACATTTTTTTACGTTCAGTTGAAGTAGACTTTTACTACACCAGGTGTGGAATATATTGATTTCATTCTGGAATTCTTCTGCATCGCTAGAATTACTTATTTCCATAAAGAGCTTCATGTCGTCTGCATATACAAGCAATTTTATTTTTTTAAGTATGTAGGAAATGTCGTTTATGTACAAAATAATGCCAACAGTTTGTCAGCCATAATCTCGAATTCCACAGGAAAGTTGTTAGGAATTCAATGGATACCGCAACTGCAGTATCGTATGGACTAGGCGTATGAAGATGTCGATGGGCGCGTGGACCCCAGACCGACTCAACCGGGTGGGAGTGTCCGGGGCCAAGATGGTATAGTGTGCAGGGGCACAACAGCAGCGCTGTTTTATATCTTTTCAGGTTCAAGCAGAACGATGTGCAACCGCCACTGACAGGATTTCCCGCCGTTTTTTTATGAATGGAACGGGGCAGAAAGTATTTTTTCAGCAGAATATGTTTTGTTTTGCATGTATAACTTTCGCAAGTTTTGGTTTAATTAAACGGGACCCACCCCATCGCTGGTTGTGAAGGTGATCATGCCGTGATCCACCTTTTTCCGCTGACTTGCTCCTGCTTGGTGCAGGACCAAGTACCACACCGTCCGAAGCGGTAATGAGCAGAAGCACGACAGCAGCGCTGTTTTCTATCTTTTCAGGTTTAAACAGAACGATTTTCAACCAAGTGGTACTCGATTATGACGACTGGGTTTGGAAAAACGTTTATTTCATGAAATCAGAGATAAAATTATCATTTGTACATTCTTCAAATGTTTTTTTTTAAAGGAAAAAAAAAAAATATATTTCAGCGGATTTGTAATGTAATATCGTATTGATTAGCGTATTTGCATTTTATTTTCATCTATAAATGGCAAAGTTACAAGCTTTCAAAACCAAACACTATTTCACCACACATATTTTTTGATCTGCACTCCAGTATAGTCTACAAAGACATAGTTATACGTAAAAAAAAGTAGAAGCGTCTGTGCCTAGGGGCACGAACGGAAGCTTGACGTAGGACCGCTAGTAGACGGAACAAATATGTTGATCATTTAGTTCTTAACTCTTTCCGTTTTTGAATTTGTGACCCGGTTGTTTTTCAGATGGTGGCCACACCAGTGCAAGTCAATGCCGACCAGATTACGGCAGCCTAGTCATGCTTCCTATTGAGGAAAGCCTTTCCTCCGGTCGATGTGGGTGTTTCCGTCGTCGTCGTCGTCTTCACATTGGTGCGATGCGTGCTGTTCCACTCATACGTCGTGTCCGACGCTTATCCGTCCGTTGCTCAAAAGCAAATGACGAAGAAAATGATTTTATTATCACTGCTTTTCTCCTCCCTTCCTTTCATTGGTGAAATGGTGAGCGATCAACCGAGCATTGAGCTCGCTCGTGTGAGCATGCGCAGTGTGTCGTTTGTTCGCTCTATCGTTGCGTCCGTGTTTGGGATTTTTCGTTACTTGTCTGAATTTTGATTTTTTTAATGTGACCTCCAGTATAGAAATTAACGTCAAAAAAAAGGTGCCTTTAAAAATTTGGTATTTTGTAATTGTAAAATTGAACATATTTGTAGTTCTGGGGTGAACGTTTCAGTTCAATTGATATTAAGCAAACAAAGTTACAACATGTCAAAGTTGTCAATTTTGCATGAAAATCATCGAACATCACAGTACATAAATGACGCGACATGTCGACATATTACAAACTTATATGCGTGATAATAAAAATTCATCAGATAAGGTATGAAGATATTCTAAATTAATTTAAATACTTACAATACAAATACATGCGTCTAAAAAAAACATTCTTAAATCACATATCGTGGCACAGTTATAGGTATTATAAGGAAAATGTAAACTGAATCAATACTTCTAGTGTCTGGCTTTATACATTGGATCTCTTTGTCATGATTTGGACCATCGAGGCAAAAACAATAAGTTTATGTTGGATACGGAATCACCTCTGGCGGCCATATATACTACTTCGACTATGGAACACCATCATTTTAATCAAACGGTTACCA